TTCTGTCTGCATACTTTTGAACGACGTATAAAAACCAAGCAACATTGTGGGCTAATCAGGCAACAAAAACGTCATTTGTTTCGCAACAAAAACGCCATGGGGCAGCACTGTTCTGATGATTCCCATCCCATTTCGCAGCGATTCAGCCGTCTGTGTTTACAGTTCAGGGATGAAACATGGACGCGTCACCTAGCTTAAATATCGATTTGCTCACCTGAGATAGCTAAATGGCATTTTTGGGAGATAGCTAAATCAGGCAACATTGTTTTGCAGTGTTTTTTTGTTGTTTCAGGAAAGCGAAATCACGCATAGCACAGTGCTGGAGAAGAGAGTACGCTGGGCAACAGGAAGAATCGCGCTGCGGTTGCCGCGGTGAAGAAGAAAAAGAAAAAGACATTGAATATGGGTAATAATCAGGGAGCGCTTCACAAACGTGATCGAACCGGCGATGCGCAACAGCGCGCACGACAGTGGGCCAGCGGTGGTGCTGCTGGCAACCACGTGTTGACCACCTCGGAGGATGGATGCCCCGTACAGGTCTATTTTTTCAAAACCGGGCATTATTTGCGCTTTCCTGCAGACCGGAAACGTAATTTTGTGCAAAAAAAAAAAAAAAATAACGATGTTTTTTTGCGACCATTCAAGTGCAAAACCTGAGCAACCGGGGAATTCTCGGGAAGCATTGCCCGCGGGTATAAAGTAGTGGGAAATAGCACATGTTTACTTTGGACAGTTTAACTTCAGAAGCTCGGGAACTGAAGTTTTTGGGGAACACTACCCGTGGGTATAACGAAGTGAAAAGTAGCACATATAATTACGTATAATTTGTGACAGTTTAACTGCAGAAGTTGGACAACTGAAATTTTCGGGAAGCATTACCCGCGGGCATAACGTAGTGGAAAATAGCACATATAATTGAGTGTATTTTTGCGAAAATTTATCTACAGCAACTCGTGAACGGAAATTCTCGGGAAACATTGCCCGCGGGTATAACGTAGTTTAAAATAGCAAATAATTATGTGTACTTTGCGATAGTTCAAACTGCAAAAGTTGGGCAACTGAAATTTTCGGGAAGCATTACCCGTGGATACAGCGCAGTGGAAAGTAGCACAAATGACTATGTGTACTCTGCAACAGTTTAATTGCAAAAATTGGGCAGCTGAAATTTTTGGGAAACATTACCCGCGGGTGTGACGTAATGGAAAATTGCATATATTATTACGTATGCTTTTGCAAAAATTTAACCGTTAAAGCTCGAGAACTGAAATTCTCGGGAAACATTGCCCGCGGGTATAAGAAGTGAAAAGTAGCACATATGATTGTGCATATTTTGTGACAGTTCAGCTGCAAAGGCTGGGAATTTGAATTCTTCGGGAAGCATTGCCCATTGGTATAACGTACTGGAAAATAGCATTGTTTTCGATCGATATGTTAAGCATTCGATTTCGCAGCTGGGGCAGCTGGCCTCTCTACGATTCGTTCGTTCCAGTCGACGATAAATTGGTACTGGCATATGTGAAGAAGGAAAAAATATGTACTCTTAAATACTGCTTGTTTTACCGAAAAAAAAAATCTACCAGTGAATAATGAGGGCGATGGCATTTCAGGTAAAAATAGCAAAAAGTGATGGATCAGGTTCAACACCAAGCATTCAATTCTCGGAGGCAAACGAATATCCAGTAGTTTTCAAATGGCAGGGCGGAAGTCAGACACGTGCGGTGTACATATCCGGCTCATGGGATGGATGGAAAAAGAAAGTACCATTATGCAAATCCACGCAAGATTTCTCCACTATTATTAATTTAAGCCCAGGTACTGTTTTTAAAATCTCCACTCATATTGGTCAGTAAGCAAAAATTTGAGTTTTTTTTAAAATTATTCTTTAAAAAAATACAGTTTTTAGAAAGCAGAGAATAAAACAAGTAGCAACGCGCACCAGATTAGCCGGTGCGATCATGTGTTTTGTGCAATTCAGCCCATCGAACGATTGCCTATTAATGATTTTCA